ATTGCCGAACACATTCTACATTGTTAAATATTAATCCTAATTTGCAAGAATTGCTTTAATACATTATATACACACAGTGAAGAATTTACATTTTAGGAACATACATATAGAAACATTTTGTCAAATCACGACGAGAGAGTTATTGAAAAAATCCTTCACGGAAAGAACAATTTTGCTGAATCCAGATCTGAAAATAATTTTTGTTCAAAATTATTTGTGAGAAAGTCAAAATAATTGTTAGAATATCAAAACGTTTTATAGCAATACTTATCAGTTTAAACATTTCAACAAATTATTCTGATGATTCAATAAAAAATTAATTTCAGATTTGTTTTTAGTAAAATTTTTAGGTCTTTCAACAAAATCGTTCTTTCCGTGTTGAATTATTGAAAAGAGGTAACAAATATTGAACACCCTTCCCCCTCCAAACACACACACACACACACACACACACACACACACACACACACACACACACACATACAAATTTATATATATCTCGCATCCGCGACGTCGCGCTCCGCCTCTGGCGAGCTTTTATACGGCCGAGTGAAAGTTTCATTGCGAAAATCGTCCTTAAAAATAACTATCAGTGTTTGCGCAATCCTGTATCGATTTGCATCCAGGCTTTGAGCTACCCCCGATATCTAAATATTCCCGGACTCGTCGAAGAACGGCGGAATACATTAATATCGGATGAGTTGATGGCGAAATGAACTTGTATCGAAAGGACCGGTGTGCCACCACCGATCAAAAACTCATTGCAAATATTTTATCCGACATATTGCATCCGCGGGATCTAAAAGAGGCTTGCTTGAGGTGCACGGTTCGAGCGATCGTTTTATTTTTCGGACTCTGCGTTCGGAGAACTGCAAAATCGTCGTTGGAATTTAATAATTTCTCTCCTTTCTTTCTCTCTCTCTCTCTTTCTCTTACTATCGAAGTTTGCCTATTATAGCGCGTACATTGATAGAATATCATTATCTATTCGGATTTTTGTCTTTGTGGCTTTTAATTATTTTTTATTTCTGATTTTTACCTTCAATGTTGCAACTGTGTGTTGCAAATTTTATCAGCAAATATGCAGTATAAAATGTACATACGGTTACGCAATTCTTTTACGTGCGATACAGTATATACAATATATTATCCTGTGAAATTTTTTTGCATAATTGTTTTTTCCGAGTTTGCAGAGTAATACGAGGGTAATATCTTCGACAATGAACGCATCCAATTATTTAACATGATTAAAACGCATTGGTGTATATGGTGAAGCGAAATCATTTTCGATACATTGATCAAATCCATTGATTAAACGCTGCATTGATTAAAATCCAGAATACAAAAAAAAAAGTTATTCTGCGAGAAATTCCACGGTCGAATTGGAGCGAAAATGCCACGTCGAGAGAGAAGCATAGAATGAAATTTATGAATTTTTCCCGAATTAAATCGTACCGAATATTATTATTTCTACCTACAGCTTTATTCCCTTCGTATCCGATTAAACGTCGAATCCTGGCGCGCGCGTCTCGACCAGCAGCCAGCAGCAGCGGTCAGACGCCGTATTAATTGACGCGATTAAACGAAAGCGAGAAGCGCGGATGATGGAGGATTCGACCGGTTATACGGTCGCGGCGTGATAGCCGCGAGAGAAAATGGAGCACGCGATTCGCTCGCTCGCTCGCTTGTTCGCTCTCGTCGAAGAAATATGTTTTTACGTTCTCCGTCAATATTTTTTTCCGCTTTTACGCGCGCGCGGATATCCGACCACTCGGCAGCGACTCGTTTGCCTCACGGCACAACAACGGCGGTTTATCGGACGGGTGTTATCACGTCACTTGGTATCCACGAGACCGCGCCGCGCCGTTCTCCTGCAGGCTCGGATTTCGCGCGTTCCTCTCAATTATTCGCGCTCGATCGATCGATCGGGCTTGCTCCTGCCAATCGGCGGCAACCGTTGCACTCCGACAACCTGCGCTACGGTGGAATACAGCACGTGGCGAGGTGAAGCTGGCAGGGCATGTGTCTCGTGAAAGAAACATCGCCCGCCCCGCTCTAATGGCTGGGGGGTCGGTTAATCGCGACTAGGAGACAAGCAAAGCCGAAGTAAACCGGGCTAGAGATTTATGAACGCCACCCTCTCTCCAAGAGAGAGAGAGAGAGAGAGAGAGAGAGAGAGAGAGAGAAAGAGGAAGGTGTATCGTCGTCGCCGCCGATTCCAGGTGGTTCGAATCTATTCTTACGGCTCGCGTTCATTTCGTTTTAATTGTTATTATGGAGATGCTAAGCCTGACGTTGATTGCTTTTACGATAATCCGAGATTAAGTACCATCATAAAGACAAAGACACGTATAATTTAGCATGCCAATAATATGGTTCAAAATGCTACAAATCATAGAAATAAAGTTTATATTATCTGCCCATTGCCGCTGATCTTCGAGAAACAGTGAAACCGTATAGAGTTTGTGAGATTTATCAGCGTGAAGTATCGCGTTATACAAAGAAGTAAATATCATGCCCGAACAACCGGAAGGGACTCTTCTTCTTCCTATCGGATTCCTGTTTTGTCGGAAAGGAACTCCTTTCCTAGTCCGTCGAATTTCGTTCTCCCATCAATTACATTATCGGTCAGTATAATTTACTGCCAATCGTAATCCTCCTTGGATACAATGCTGTACGGACTATTTTATTACGTAATACGGCTAGAGATTCGAATGAAACTTAAACAAAGTATCATAAATCATTTCGAAGTTTGCCTATTAGCGCGTACGTCGATAGAATATCATTATCCTTCTTGGATTTGCCGATTACGTACATATAAGTTTAACGAATTTTTGTCGTGCGAATATAAAATGTGATCGTTATTACAATTTATATGAATTATTTATTTTTATGCATAATTTATTATAATTTATTTATTATATTTATATTTATATATATTGTATATTATATTTATTATAATTTTCATTTGCAGACTGCAGCTTGTTTCGCTTTGTGGAAATATTGTTTTTATTAATTTTATGAAGACATGTCGCATATTAAAAATTTTACATTAAAAATTTTCGTTTGTTGCATTACATTGCTATTCTCGTACGACAACACTGAATTAAATTGCTTTTATTAATATTTCTCGAGAGGCAAACGAATCATTTTCTCTCGGTATGGCAGTAATAACGGAGTACCTTCATACCGTCAATTTCTTGTCACGGAGTGCCGATCGTTTTGCTCCTCTTCTCTCCTCTGTCCTCTATTAACTCCCTACCGGTTGTTTCTCCTCCCGTAATAAAGAGCCAGCGGAAGTTCCCTCGTAAATCGTCGTTTGATGTAACGTAGACACGAAGCCAATACATACATTCTTCCACCGATAATGACATCAAAAATCCTGATCACGCGAATCGGCAGAGGGGTGAGGAGAAAGGGGTGATCCTAATACTTGTACAGCCGTGAGCCATTTGCGACAGTCACATTATGATTTTGCACGAACTTGATCTAACAAAAAAAAATTTAATGGAAGAAAAATCCGAACGCAACCGGAAATGAGTTTGACGAAAATGCGGGCACTCCGAGCATTAACTTAATCTCTGCATTTCTCTCCGTTTCGTGACTCTCTTATAATTTTACTACAGTCTTACTTGTAAAATACAAATCTCTCGCTGCAAACTTTCGTAATAGACTAACGTAGATATAAACAAAGACGTAAATCACGCAGCAATAAAAACGTATTCTGAATTCCTGTAAACTTCGTTGCTTCATTAAATTCCGCTGTGGATTTATGCATTGCAAATTCAAATGTGTAATTAATGTTTACTTATATATATGTATATATACAGAGTATCCCGAAATTCGCGAATTAAAATATCATAGCAAGAAAGTCTTCGAAAAATTAAGTAAGAAAGTTATTTGTAAATTTTTATTTTAAGCAGTAGTTTTTGAGATGTAAAAGTTTAAATTTGGTCAATTATAAACGGTTAAACAGAAATGTATCCGTGTCGATAATGTTAGTTAGGTCACGCAATTTCACGGGCGTAATCTGTAATTGTTCAAATTTAAATCCTTATATCTCAAAAACTACTGCTTAAAATAAAAATTTGCAAATAACTTTTTTCTTAATTTTTCGAAGACTTTCTTGCTATAATATTTTAATTCACAAAATTCGGGACACTCTGTATATATGTGATTAATAATTTGGTTGGATGCACTAGTGCACATTAAAACCGTTGTACACAAATTGACGTAAAGATGTGTGTTTAATATAAAGCTATAGAAATACTTCATTAAATTCCGCGTAGATTTACACACTACAGAGTGTTCAAGTATGTAATTAGTGTCTACTTATATACATATGTGTGATTTATTTTTTCATGTAAATAACACTCTATAATATGTTATTAAAAATAACATATATAACTATAACAAATATAATGAGAAAATAATATAATATAATATAGTTTATAATGAGAACATAATATAATATAGTATATATATTATTAAAAATAACATGTAACATGTAACAATGTGTTATTTTTACGTGGAAAGCTAAATTATATATGTATATATAAGTAGACACTTATTACCTAAGTATGTTATTTTTACACCGAAAAATGAATCGTACACATATAATACATACAAGTAGACATTTATTACACAGATTTATTACTTAAATTTGTGAATCGACACATCTGCACTTGAAGTAATTGTGATTTTGCTGACAATTACGTCGTTAGCTTAAGCATATTGACACGAGAAATTTGTCGCGTGGTATTTTACCTTAACGTGTTAAGGTTCAACTCAAAACGTTAAGAGCTGTCCGTGCATCGCGTAAAGCTGCGGGTTGCTAAATTTCAAACCGAACTATTTGCATAACCGTCTTCCTCGTTTCGCTTACGAGATAACGAGGATGAAACGTTGCTTACGCGAGAGTATATATAACCCGTCCGGTTTCCGTGAACTGTATTTGCGCCCTCGACCAAGCTGAATCAATTCCCCGCTTCTGGTTTCAGTGACCCTGTATGATGGCGAGCAATTAAACTTGACGAGGATCACACGCAGCGAAATGGGCGCTTATCTCTGCATCGCGACCAATGGCGTGCCGCCCACGGTCAGCAAGAGGATCACCGTGGATGTCGAATGTGAGTTCGTTGCGAGCATACCGCACATTATCATCGCGTTTGTACGGTAACACGTACGGGACACACATATGAGATGTACATATTCATATGACGAATGGCATGCAGTCGGCAATGCCGGGGGGGTACAATGCGACGCGATAATTATTATTTTACGACGTTACATGCGAGATGTTCGGCAATAAACGGCTTAACGACGTGGATATTTAATTCAAGGGTTCGGTCAAAATTGCGTGAGGTCTTGCAATAATATTATTTGTCGACTGTAAAAATTTGATGACGCGCTGTCGACAGTGGCACGTCACTGTAACGCTGACGAACAAATAACAATTTGATTTACGTTAACTCTTAGTTTACACGATTCTCCGATTTTTTGCTGTCTACGATAACGTCATTCGAAGGTTGATTTTTATGACAAGAAAGAAAACAATATATAACAATTATTAAGTTATTCTTACATACATGCACTTTAATATCTTTAGAAAAAAATTTTGTATAAATATGTAATTACATTTAATATATTTTGAACACTTTCTCACGCACCAAATTCTGCGTGATAGACTCTTATTTTATCATTTCTTGTTATTGTTTTTCTTTAGAACATATTTGTAAGATTGTGTATTAAAGAAAAAAAAATGTATATAAATATTATAACTAATTACAGCGGACGTAAATGGCTCAATCATACATATAGATATTAAGGAGACATGAATGACCCAATCCTTATAGAAATTTAATAGAGTAAGGGCCAGATGATTACTTATGTTGAATATTAAAAGAATTGTTAGTGCTTTTAAGTATTAAACTTTTACAAGGGAATCGTGTATACTAAGGGTTAAGATTTATGCATTGTATATTAAGGGTTAAGGTTTATGCATTAATTAAAAAGATATTGTGAGATAACGATATCGCGGAATGTATACAACAACGGCATGCAGGTGTTGCCGGAACTTAATTACTGTAATAAATTATGTTAATTGGATGCGGGAAACTGCTGTGATTGTGAACTCCAAATGTTCATAAAGTATCCTAATTCTCCAGCTTGTTCACGTGTTTAAGTATCGTAAATACCGGCACGCGCGAACTTTCTCTCGAAGGAGGCGACGCGAGAATTAGGGCTCTACCGTCGCGCGGTGGCTGGATCGCGGCCCAACGACGATTTGTCGAATAAATTTTAAACGCGTTGCTGTATGCGATCTCCGATCCGACGCGACGCGACGGCACGGCGCGGCGGGTCGGTCGTGTGTTGTTTAAATTTCATTTCACGAATTGCACAACGCGAGCACACGTGCAGCGCGTTGCACACGTTTTGCCGTGCAGCGGGCGCACGTGCTCCGCACCGAATACGTGTATAACCAGACAACAAGAGGCAAGGAAAGAGTAGATCGCGGGACCCGCAGGGGAGGAGGAGAGGACGAAGGAGGGCGGGGGGAGGGGGGAGGCATGGGGGAGAGAAAACGCCGTCGGGAAAGCCCGGGGGAAATACTGGAAGCCGCGCGCAAGCCGTCCCGCCGGCCCTGGTCATTTTTCCCTTTTATGCGTTTCATTCGTTCGTGTCACTTCGTATGCCTTGCATCCGCGTGCTGCTGCTGCCGCTGCCGCTGCTGCTGTTGCTACACGTCGGTGTGCGTGCGCGCGGGCGAGCGGGTGGGCCCTCGGCGTCGTTGCTGAGGGAAGAAGGAGCGGTAACGTTACGGTACGGCACAGGCCGGGGCGGTATCTCCTGAATATTTAGGAGGCGGGGGACATATTTTATTTAGACGAGCGGGATAAAACATCGGTTTTCTCCGCGGATGCGGCGCGTTCCCCGGGTCATAGCGGACGCTTCGGGGATCGTCTTCTCGTGCACCCTCCCTCCCCCCTCCCCGAACCCCCGTGCGCCTCCCCCGTCCTCTCTCGTCTCTCACCCAACCCCGCCGGTGGTGCGCGGCGCACGTACGCGTGTTGGGATTTTGCGGGACACCGCCTTTGTAAAAATTTGAACGCACGTAATGAGACGAGCGAGAGCCGTGGGAAATTCTCCAACGCGATCTGATTGACGGCATAATTCTTTCGCTCTCCCCCTTTGTGTCGGCCTCCGCCGGACGATCGATGGTGCGCCAACGTTACGGTTTTTTTTTTTTTTTTTATTGCCACCTTAGTCAGCATTATACATATGTATATACCTGCGATAATGATAGTGATCTATGATGGTATATTAATTTTTTTAACTGCCACACACAGGGTATATACACGCTAGTTGACATATCGTCCTGCATTGCATTAGTTGTATCGATGCTGTCGCTTTTACTTGAATTTCCTGTTTCTTCTTTGAAATCGTTTTATAATTACACGCGTGATTTATTTTTACAATATTTAAACAAATTAAGACCAGCTCGTCCTTGTAAAAGACAAACAAATTAAGATTAGGCCAAACTAATGAGCTTATTTAAACAAGGATGATAGCGTTTTTTATTACAAGAAAATTTCTAATAGCGATTATACATGAAGCATTATACATAAAAAAGATCAACGCTAAACGTAGTACATGTTTATTTGATATCTTATCAAATTTGACATTCTACAGATGTAACGTATTAATTTATATACGTATATATTATGGTGTAATATTTTATCTGTAATTATTATTTGTTGAGATGGCTGAAGAAAACCAATTAGGTCGAAACATGTACCACGTTTAGCGTTGATATTTTTTTATGTATAATTCTTATCGCTATTAGAAATTTTCTTGTAATAAAAAACGCTGTCATCCTTGTTTAAATAAATTCGTTATAGTTTGACTTAATCTTAATTTGTCTGTCTTTTACAATATTTAGTTTACATATTTAGTTTACAATTATTACGTGTTTTTGTTAATACGTAGTTAAGAACAAATCTGTATATATTTCACTTATCGTGTTTGATCGTATTACGATTAAACAAAACAATAATATATGGTTTATATGAAAAATATGATACGAATAATTCGAAGAGAAGACATATTTAATACTAATTGTAAGAAGAAATAATTATTCGTTAATAATATCTCTAAATATTATTAGAACTATTTTAGAAATTATTTATCATTTATATATATACCTATATATTTAGAAATTGTATAATAGGTGTGCACGTTTTATACCTCGTATAATACTATACTGATATAACGTGTTCTAGAATCAGTGCAGAATACAATTATGACTTTACTTCAAGTTGTAAAGCGGCGAGTGTTGTATGCTCATTACTTATTCTCATACAGAAGTTCTCCTACGTTTTCCTATTTCTGCTCCACTTTGTTCGTTTAGTTACATTAAATAATCCACGATTTTATTCTTTTCTCTTAAAATTACAGCTAAAATTAAATATTAAAAGATTACATCGTGGTTACGTAATACGCATCTAAATTTCGTATTTGTCTCTCGTAACGCGAAAGGAATGCGTAGGGAGTTTGAGAAGCGGGTACTCTGCCCAGGGAAAAGAGAAAAAAAAATGAAAAGGGTGCTCGATCAGTGTAAGACGTCAAGATGCACTTCCGGAATCGGAGGTCTAACAACCACTCGTTGTAACACGCTTCGCAAATTCCCCCCTCGATGGAGACGTCGTCCGTATAAATTCCAGCCAGCCGATAACACCGCTTACCCAGTTTTCTATGTTGGCCCATTACGAAATGGAATGAATAAGCGGCGCATAATGAGCGAGAGATAACAAACTGAATTCGTATTGTTGAGTATACTCTGCTTTTACTCGTGCTTTAATTCATACATAATATACGAATCATTATACTGCAGTTCATTAGTCCGATTACACAAACTACGCGCCGAAATGAAGTGCACGTGAGAAAATAAAATTATAACATCCCGCGCGAACTCACGTTTCACGGATTACTTTTTATTCGTAATCGCTTATTCAGCTCGGATCGTGCCGGGTTGTGGGAAAAGATTCGGGTACTCCCCGAATCTTTCGAAAGAATTCGTTCATTGAGGATGAACCGGGACGCGGGTCCCGAATTGGATATTCAGTCTAGCGACAAAGAGACACGATCGCGTTGACACAACGATCTTTCTAAATTTTTGCTGACATATGGGGGGAGAGAGGCAGGGTGGCGGGGGGGGAGAGCAGTAGTTGCGTAGTACACAGCTCGTACACATGTCGCGTTTTCAGCATGCATATACCCGTCGTTGCAACGCGGGCAAAATTGCGCCGCTGCATAAAGCATAGCCAGTGAGTGATGGGGAGAGTAGCGGTGGCGGGAGGGGAGGGAGGAGGTGGAAGGGAGGAAAACGCGCGCGAATACGGGGGACATAATTCGGTTGGCATGCACGCGGCTCGGGTCTCCATATGTGGTCCAGTCTCTGCAAGTGGTAACCTACTTCATCAGGCATGTTGATGAGGCATGCACGATTTAGCGAGTTGACTTTTTACTCCGTACGTTTTCACTCTGCGCCTATACCTATATGTACATGTACGTTGCGTCACGGGCCTGGGGTACACCAGGCGACAATTCACGCGGTCGCTCCCGCCGGGGTGCGCGAGCGTGATAAGCGAGCCGGGACCATCGCATCCTCCCGCTCTCTCCCTCTCTGCCGCAATGAGAGTATTATATCCTTTCTTTTTCAATTGGCCGTGTAATTGACGAGTACCGCGGGTGCGGCTGAGTCACGATGAGACGACGCGATAACAGCCGCGTAATTGACGGCGCGCTATTTACATCGATTTGTTAAAGTCGCATGCATTCGAAATACGGAGGCAATAAACGAATGGCCGCGGAAGGTATAGAATTTTGCTCCTGTCAATAAAGCTATAAAGGTTCCAGAGAAATATTTATTAATGTAATAATAAATATGGAAAGTAGGCTTATAGTTTGAAAATTGAAATTGAAAGCGGTAGAAACATAGGGGCATGAAAGCCAAGCGAAGTCTAAGTGCTGAATAATGTATATAATAACAAAATATGCAAGTCATACAAACGTTTCGACCTTTTTTGTATTTGTATGTATATATTGTTATTATATACATTATTCAGCACTTGGATCTTGCTTGGCTTTTACGCTCATGTTTATCACTTTTGATTCATTATTGTGATTTAATTTACAAGAATATTTTGATAAACGTAATGAATTCTGAATAATAAATAATAATAATAACTTCTGAACAAATTCTGAACTCGATTGAGAATGCATATAAGTGATTTTGATTTTTAACGAAATTGGGCAAAAGTATTTTGGAATATCTAATAATTTGGTTATTGAATTAAAATTTGTTATTACGTTATTTAATTATGACATAACATACAATCGTGCAGTTTTTCCTCCAGCCAGGTTTTAGAAATCTTTTTTCAATTTTACTGTCGAATTGGTTTGTACATAAAACTTTTTCTATATGATATACCTTAAGTTTTAATAAAGGTACAAACACATATATTTTATATTTGACACTCATACTGTTCGTACCTGTTCAAAACCTGTCTTTTTCTCGGCTCTTTATACTACATATATTGTTCTTTTAAAGAATTTTTGTGACAATATGGATTTTGTTTCTTGAGACTACTTGTTTAAGACTGCCGATCTTGAGTGAAGAATATGCTCACTATATCCGAGCCTACAGCTCGTACATGTATATTTTTACATTTTTATTGGGAAGGAGGTTCTTACCCCAAGATTGACACTGACTTTGTTTGATCAACTTATTCATGCTCATGTACTTGAAGATGGCTCGAAAGGAGAGCCGAAACGTCTACGATTATATAAAATTACAAACACTATTTGTTGAAATTATTTTTCATTGCGCACCATTTACCGCGCTGATTCGTACACGCCGCGTTAACAATATCATATTTTTATTTTCCACGAGTCTTACATTTTATACTTTAAGCACATACATGTTTACGCACGCATACTTGAAACATACAATCCCTTTCTTCATCTAATTGATAATGACAAAAAATAGTGTGCCCGTCCCGTCAGGATAACGAGCAACGATATGCCACGATGAACGATGCACTGCATTCGTAGAGTCATGATCACCTGACCATGCCCTGTACATCAGCGTAGTCCGCGACGTTGCATCCCGGCTTACCACAAATCCACAAATTGCCACCGTTGACTTTAATTAATGCACACTTCTCTCCTATTTCCTACCATCGATTACGTCTATATCTGCCGTATTCAGACTCAGCTGCGCGTTGCACTTCTATATATCTCTGTCCTGCGCGTTATCCACAGATGGAGAATGCGGCGAGAGTTAGGAAGGTTTAATTGCGAATCTCGCTCTTCATTTATTTATTACAAGCAATTATTAAATTTATTGTCCAAACCATCGAGTGTTGAATAGATAATATCGAATAGATTTTCCAAAGTTTTGAGATCGACAATTTTTCTTTCTCCGATGAAAGTCATTGCGTCTTCGACCAAGATAGAGGAAGAAGCAAAAAACAGCCAAACTGGAGAATGGCAAGCTAGGAAGATTTAATTGTAAATCACACCCTTCATTACAAGCATTCATTAAATTAAATTAAATTAAATTAAATTAATTAGCTGGGACTCCTTGTTAAACAAATAATCAAAACAAATCGTAAGGACTGTCAGGAGTCAGCGCGGTAAATCGTGCGCAAATTACAACAATAATTCCGATGTAGTTCACATCACAAAATATATTCTTGAGAACAATACAAAAAAAGTCGTAACAGTTTTACAGACGTTTCGACTTAATTTTAAGTCATCATCAGTGATTAAGCGTTGTTAATGGTCGCAGTTGTACAATTCTGTGCAAAAAAAAATTATTTTACATGAAAGCTCGTTATACCTCTCTAACGAGGAGAATCATAATCCAATGCGTTCTGTATTAAGCCGACGATATCGTATCGGCATTTTTCTTCCCCCCTCCTCCCCCGATGCTTTCTTCCTCCGCCTTGATTGGCTGCGGCGACTTTTGTCGGAGAAAGAATAATTATAGCGTCGATCGAAACCTTGAAGAGAATAGCTGTTCGCTATCATCTATTTAATATTCGAGTACGAGTGTTGAAGTTTAATCAAGCGAATAGCCTCAGCCGGTCTCTCAGCCGGTTCCATTTATTAAATTTATTATCCACTCGTATGTCGGGTCTTGAATAGATAATATCGAATATGTTCTCCAAGGTTTCGAGATCGATGGCAATTTTTTTTTCTCCAATGAAAGTCATTGCGACTGACCAAGATACAGGAAGAAGCAAAAAAAAACCGCGCACATGGAGAATACGGCAAGCTAGGAAGATTTAATTGTAAATCCCGCTCTTGAATTATATAAGTATTCATTAAATTTATCCACTTGTATGCCGGGTGTTGAATAGATAATATCGAATAAATTCTTAATAAAATTTCGAGATCGATGGCAATATTTTCTTCTAATCCGATGAAAGTCATTGCGATCGACTAAGGCGGAAGAAGATCGCTTTAAAGAAAAAGAGGAAAAACTCGCAAGAGATGAATGCGACGAGCCAGGAAGGTTTAATTGTGAATCTTGCTTCATTACAAGAATTTATTTAATAATTAATTATCCACTTTATTAAAGTAAATAGATAATTTGTTTTCACATAAAAGTTGTAAAACAATGATTAACATTGAACATCATAATAGATGACTTTAATAACCACATTGATGAAAATCGAATACCGTTATTGTTCGCGTAGCGATTGTGTCAATATTACAGATAAGTCATAGATATTTAAGAATCTCTTTATATTTTCTGATTAATATTTTCTTCGTTTACCTGATTTTATTTGACATGAGTTAAACGAGTTAAATATATGAGCTTTTTAACATTTAAAGACTCGTAACGCGATTATATATGAATGTTGTATTGAATAAATAAACTTCTTTCTATTATATCTTCTGACTTTTCGTTACACTGCTTATCGTATATATGAGTTGTGAAATATTTAATAGCCTGTGATTTTCAAATCAGCTTTATTTTCAGCTGTAGATATGATTCCGAGTTAATTGGTTACTCGATAACACGTCTTAAACTTCAACACTCGTACTCGAATATTAAATAGATGATATCGGACAGCTATTATCTTCAAGGTTTCGATCGACGATATAATTGTTCTTTCTCTGACGAAAGTCGCCGCGGCCAATCGAGGCGGAGGAAGAAAGTATAAGGGTGGGGGAGGGGGGGGGAGGGAAGAAAAACGTCGATATGATATCGTTGGCTTAATCCAGAATGCATTGGATTATGATTCTCCTCGTTAAAGGGGTATAACGAGCTCTCAGCACCCGGTGTCGTTTTACATCGGCGCCCGGTGCATTATTATTCCCTTATTGTATCATACAACCTGCTGGCGGAGTTTGCAACTTTAATTTAACCCGTTACCAAAGCAGCACGCCTGCCACCAACGTCGCGCGACACACCTTATACGAGCGCGCATCCGACGTTGGATTAATTCGAAACGAAGAAGGAGCCGTTTCTGGTTTAGTTGCTGAGTTAGAAAATTGTTCGTCCGGAATGAGAGGGAGAGGGAGGCCGCGGGACCCTTCCCTTGCCCTGCCCTCTCCTCCGCACCGAGGAAAATACAGAAAGGACATAAAGACGGAATCGCGCGGCGGCGGCGACGTCGTCGTCGTCTCGCGCGGCCTTAACTCTTCATTGCGTAACCTTAACGCCGGCGTTAGACTTGTAACCATAATAGACTTTGTTCTCAACTCGTTTCCCGACCGTGGCGCATTTTGCGGAGCCCCGCCATCCCGGGGAAAGTACAAACTTGATCCGTCGTGTCTGCATTACGGGGGACGGGAAACTCGGCGTTACGTCGCAGCGCAATCTTTGATTTTATCGCGTAACGATTGTACGTGGAGGATAATTAAGGGAGCGCGCGCAACGGCGCGTTTTAATATGCGATCGTTACTAACATTTAATTTAAATTAATTTAATTTAATTTATCGCGTACGAATACGAAAGATTTACGTGTAGGTTGGGAATGAAAATGAGAATACGCAAATAGTGAGGCGCTATCATGGCTACCGTTGTAATGCCTATCAGATATTAGCTTATATGAATATGTAAAAGCAGAAAAAGGGAAGAATATATAACACGCAACAATAATTACACACACATCCATACATTAACTGCATTAACATCATGCACTTTGTGTGTATTTAGAGCAATTACATAAAAATGCAAAAATTTCTTGTTGGCGAGTTCGCCGGAAGAACTTGTACGCGTCTTGTTAAGGAGTTACATGTTTCTTGCATGCAGTTTGTTGTTTCTTTCTTTACAAGTAACAGTTTATTTTTGCCCTCGATTAAAATCGATTAAGATCCAATTTTAACGGATACAAACAACTTTTTTGCGCGCATCGCAACATGCAAACGGGACGTTAAGGTGGTTCTAAATCAAGTTACTATAAAAATGTCAAATTTTTCAATATAATAAAATTGAAGTACCGAACTTGACGTGTGCAAAAAGATGTTGAAAATGTAATTTCTAACGTATAACTACGTTAGTGACAGGTTAAGTAAGGATTGGAGATACTTTTTCTAACTGCACACAAACCGTTAATGGTCACAGAAAAGTAATATGTCAACGGCCATTCTGGAAAGATATTTAATGTTGAAATGCAAAATATCGAGCGAAATCTATAATAGCGACATGTGATAGATAAATCTGGCAACATTGCTAGGAAACACTCGACCGATAAATATCGTTTGTTTTATATTATTTCATTAGATACGTATACACCGTAGTTTTAATATTTTATCCAAATTATGCAAATATTTATAATTTAGGATGGGCCCTGGTGAGGCACCTCAAATTTTTGGCATTTTACTAAAAAAACCACCTTAATATGAAGTAGCTATCAATGTGAAATTACGTAATATATAAATAAAAGTAGCATAAAGCGCGGAATGTATAAATCTCTCCTTGACGTTTCAGTTTCGCCGATGATCTTCGTGCCGAATCAGCTTGTCGGCGCGCCAACCGGCACCAACGTAACGATCGATTGTCACACGGAAGCTTATCCCCGCGCCATGAGCTACTGGTTCCTGGGAGACGAGATGATTCTCACCAACGAGAAGTACACGACGAATACCATGGAGAACAGCTACCGCGCGCACATGAGACTCACCATCAGAAACTTGACAGCGAGTGACTTCGGTAGCTACCGGTGCATTAGCAAAAACTCGCTGGGCGAGACGGAGGGATCCATCAGATTATACCGTAAGCTGACGTGCATTTTCTAGCCCCCTCTCCCCTCCCCCCTCATGCCACGCGCGGTTCGTGTACGCGAACAAACAATTTTTTCCCCCCCTGACCGCTATCGTTATGCATCTACCGCCGCCATCGCCATCACCACTGGTGTATGTTGTTTGCTATACGAGATATTATAGCGCAGACGGGGACGCGCGCGGTTTCGCGACGTGAATAATTTAAAAGTGAAACGACTTCCATAAATCGCGAATTCTCGAGCCTTTGTTTAATTTCGCCCGAGTCGAAGATTTATTTAAAGCCGAGCGGATGCTGGCAGTAAATCGGCTACGGTTAAATCGCCGAGAGAGAGGAAATGTCTCTCGCGTCGTCCTTTACCCCCTCCCCCCCCCCTTTCCTCATACCCCCGTCACCATTCCGTTATATCCTATCTCGGCCCCGTGCAATTCCCCGCCGCGCCGCCTCGGAGAGATAAGATGACCCCCCAGTTAAAATATGAATAAGACGTTCGGAGTTCGGAGTTAAATTTATTGGCCGATATTTAACAAGTTATATGACGTCATTAAAGAACTGAACGATTTTTATTTCAGCCATTCCGAAGCCATCGGCGGCACCGAAGGCGACAGAGATCAAGAGCAGCGCCAACAATGAAGGTGAGAATCTTATTGAATATATGCATTCCGAACGATTCGGAAAATCGATATTATACTCGGCGCGGACGATTCTCTAACAATTCCCACGGGAAGGCAAACTCATTATCCACAAATTTTATTCCGAAATCGTAGACCCTTAAAGTGCTCTCTCTCTCTCTTTCTCTCTCTCATCTTCCTCTCGTTGTATTCAATCGCGAACGAAAAAGCGGATGCCGCAACTATGTCTCACTTGAAGAAAAAAAAAGGAAACGTTAAACTAGGGGAGAGGGAGGAACAAGGCGTAAAAAAGGGCAATCTAAATTAAAGCGATGTATTACGCGTCTTTCGCGGATAGGCAATAATCCAGCAAACACAGATTGTAACAGCAATATTGCAGCAACGTTATAATATTTCTGCAATATAACTGAAATGTTACAAATATTGCTACAACTTTGCGGTTATAATCTGCGTCTACTGGGAATTTGCATCTTTGACCATCTCGACATCATCAAAGCGTCGGAACGGTAACTCCAAAGTGTTTGTGACACTTCTTTAATTTTCTAAAGAATTATTTGTCCTTTGCATAACTAAAAGAATCTAAATAAATTTAGAAAACTCTCGAAATTGTCAAGTAATAAAACAGAAATAAATCTAATGGGAGCTACAGCGCGGTAAGTAAAGCGCAAAGCAATTTGATAGTTGTGTTAAAAATTCTTTAATAGAATACTCGTTAATCTCTAAAAATAAAATAGAATACTCGTTAAAACAAAAATGTTGTAAAAAAGAATCTACGCCGGTCGAGTGACAGGTAATGTTCTTCGAGGGGTGAATTGCTCGGGTTGTGCGTGATTCGCATCGTCCGAATAAAATACGATGTTTCTGAGAGTTAGTCTTTATATTAGGGCTCGCAGAGAGCCCTGGCGCCATTGGCGCGTCCGTGTATTATTAAAGCGACAGGGTGCGGGGGGGGAGGGAGGGGGCGAATAACTTGGGCAGGTGCCTAGGTCAGGTCCCTGTGGTTCGGCTGCCTCGCTGTGTTCCTCATCCTCCTCTTCCCCTCCCCCTCTCCCCCTTCTCTTCTCTGCCTCGCGAAACCAATCTCAATATACTGTATTATTAACGCCATACAAGGCTCGGCCACGACGGTATTACCGCCATTAAGCTTCGCAATTTTACCGTATAACTGGCTCCTGCCGGCCGCTAGGTGGATTATCGTTACCTCGAAGCGCCTAGGGGGAAGAAGCTGACCGTTCTAATGAATAACTGTTACTCGCGAATTTTCGCGAGCAGTGCGGGGGAGAACGTGTTGCTCGTTGCTGCCCTCCCGCCCCGCCGCGCGATATTGATGTCGCCGCGGCCGAATCGCTTTTCTCGCGACCCGACGATCGTAAAAGCCGCGGGAGGGAAGGGGGGATGGGTGGAGGGGAGGCGGGGGAGATCGTAACCGAGATTTACGAGCGTCGGAGGCGTAAGTCCGACGAGCGCGATTTCTTTGCGAAGGAGCCGAGTGCGAGGCGAGCCCGGCGCGGCGCGGCGCGGCGCGGCGCGACGCGATCGTACGTGCAAATAATGGTAATCGAAAACGTTCTTTCGATGGAGATGTCTCGGATAGAAGCGTCGCGTCGCCGTAACTCCAACGTACTCCCATTTTCCCCGGGCTAATGCAATTTATTCCGTATTAACGACTCCGCAGCCGTAGATGCACATATACTTCGCGAGCGCGCGAGACGAGACAGCGCCTTCACCATAATGTATGGCCTCGACTGATTAAATATTACGAGAAACTTTGGCGCAAAATCGGCAAGGGACGCGTCGCGTTTGTCTCTCTTTCTCTCTCTCTCTCTCTCTCTCTCTCTCTCTCTCTCTCTGTCGCGTCTCCGAATCAATCTTAATACTACCGGGGTTATTAATGACCTAGTCGAGGTATGCAATAACTCACGAACACGACGTTAAATGCCTAGCAGTTTCCAATGGGACTGCCGTTCGTCTTATCTGCGCCAGATAAGATTACGCCCATTTACGGAACGATCCGCGATTCGAAATGCAGGAGATGCACGCGACGACATATCAAGAGTCATCCGGAGACGAGGGAGGGGGACGAGGAGACTATTCGAGAAAGTAATTTTGTGAAAGACGGGGTATAAAGGCAGGTAAAAATATCGAATACAATGAATTTTTCACGGAAAGTTTGAGACATCATTTAATCGTTTATCACGTTTTTTTTTCGGGAAACGGTACAATTGACTTGAATATTACGAGAAATGATGTTTGATCTACGCCGAGATTTTCATTACGCTTGTGCGACATAGATCAAGATTTACCCTTCCGGCTTGTTAAAATCAGAGAACGCGAATTTTAATTTTATATTGCGATATTACATCGGTGGCTTAACCAGTGACCTAATTAAGCGCATTTAAAATTCAATTACTGACGTCGCTGCGAGATACTAGACGGGATGCACACGGCACAGAGTGAGATTGCATTGTTGGCGGTGGTTCACGTATCTAGATACTAGATAGCACTATTGTTCTAAAAAAAGGAGAGAGAGAAAATCGTGAAATTATACCAAGAATCTAATTTTCCAAAAAGCATTTGAACGGTCTGTTAGGTGGACAATTTTCATTCGCGATTTGAATCGCAGTCTTATTTTTGCTCATTATCGTTATTTTTCATGTTCCTTTTACATTAAGAATTTAATATAAATGAATAGTAAGTGAAATCGACCGACATGTGAATTATACAAATAAGCGAAGGAAGGCTTTATTCTCGGTCAAATTCCAATCTTTTAGTGCCTAATAATATTTTCCAGTGAGAATTTGCAATTCGTACATGCAGACTTGGCGCCGATTATTTGTCGATCTTGAAACACAATATTTTTAAATTGTCAAGTATCGGAATTGACCGTGTTACAAACAATTAAGATGCAAACACGCCAACATGGTGCAAAGTGGATCTCGGTGCTTAATAATATTATAATATATGAATCTTACAATTTCTCAACCCAGGCAAACTGCGCGCCGCATAATCATCGGTTTTTAAAACGCATTTTTAAATTGTTTGTTGGTATAATTGAAGAACTATTTTAATATGTGATATTAGTAAGAAAAAATGATTTTCCATTTTTAAGTTAAATTAGCCTACTACTATTGCAAGCCCTTCAATTTGTAATATTATGTACTAGAGCTTCAGGTTAGGACTGTATTTCACAAACTAAAAATTACAAAATTCACATAAAATTATTATTAAGTACCAAGATCAGCTTTGAATAAAGTCTGTCTTCGTTTATTTAAGATATAAAATAATGATATTTATGTACGTATATGGCTTCTAAGCACAATTTGTTATAATTTTTAGATGTATTATTTTTTTAAACATAATTTATAAATATATACCTGCATGCGCAAAATTTGATTTTTTAATAGAACAAATTAAAATATCGCGACATTTTAATTAAAAAAAATATTATTGAAGAAAATTACTTATTAAATTTAATGCTGATTAATATTGTAATTACATTAATATTGTAATTTACATTTTTCTTTGTGCACTGAAAATACCTAAGTAAAAGAAAAAGGAGGACCGGTAAATAAGACCAAATTCTGCCTCGCGATGGAATCTAATCTAAACTTTAAATTTCTTCCTTAGATCTTCAGAAGTACGAAAATAACCGTTATTTATCTGAGAAATGATAGGAAAGCTGAGAATAAAGAATGAGCTATTAAGTTCTAATAGTATATTAATAATTCTAATAGTTCTAATAGTATACTAATAATATATTAGTTTAAATCAGGACCGGCAACTTACCAGAATTCCGAGCGTGGAGTTCTGCTACCGGTCTCGCGGGGCGGGAGAGGGGGGCAAAAACTGTTACACATTGTACTCTACTTTTTTTACTGAGAAGCATGTTTATTGCTGTTTACAACTGCAAACGTTGATCATCGAACTGCATTTGCGCATATAAATTTACTTACAATTTCACTCAATGTATAGGTTTTCAGTTATATCGCAATGAATGTAAAGGATTGCGAGGCTATTTAAGCGGCTTTGCCCCATCGTTGATCTTAAATATGTTTTAAATATTCACAAAGTTGAAAACGAGCGCTCAGCAGTGCATGACGTTGCCGGAATTGTGAGCAAAATCCTAATTAATTTTGAAAATTCACTGATCATTTCACTCACTGGCAAATTTTTTTTTAATAATATTTTTTAGAGTAGTCATTTTGATTTCTCTTTGTTTGACAATGTCAAGAAACATGTCACGATGAAGCTTCAGTTTGTCTTTCTCCAAGTCGTTTTTATAAAATTCTATAATAGGAGTCGGATCACTGACTTTAGGGGAGACCGGGGCTCGTTGGCACTGTTTTCATAATTTAGACATTCCTGTTTCTAAACAACTATTTATTATGATTAAACTATATTAATATAGTAGAATAAACCTTTTTCTACATTTTCATGCCAGGAACGATTCTGTATACTGTATAGTTTCTTTGTAGTAAGTGAAATACGAACATGCTGCAATGTAGTCAATTTACCCCGATAGTCGGATAAATTGACACATGTCACAGCGTGAATTGCTTCAGCAATAAACTCCATATTAAATTAATGAAAACATAATAGCAGTAAAAACAGATCGCAGATATGTATTTCTTAAAAAAAGATCGCATATATCTTTTAGAGTTATTTTGTAATAATCAAATAGCAAACTGCTGTTAGAGAATAATATATGTAAACTATTTTAAATGTAGCTTGTTTCAATATAGAAATATAAATAAATAACGTTTTGTCATAATTAAGTTGTAATTAAATGGTTACACGCTTCTTACAGTAAATTAAACTAACAATAAGCTAACTTTAAATATGAGCCAAAACGTGCCCCATTCTTACAGACATATAATTTAAATCATTTTATTATAATAAATTATGATTATTATTCCAAATAACATGTTATATAGTAACAAAAACTTTTCTTTTATCAAATAATACATTACTTAGATTTCTCTTTTCAGCTGAAGAACATTAAT